GGAGACCTGGAAGAAGCTCCTGAGGGGCTCCTGACTTCAGTTCAGCTCAACTCCGGCCATTGTGAGAACACTTGGGAAGTGAACCAGCAGTTGAATTCAAGATCTGTCTCTCTGTCTCTCCTTCTCTCTTTATATCTGTTTTTCCAATAAGAAGAAAGAAAGGGAAGGAAGGAAAAAATCCTTAGTGTATGAAATATCAGAAACAATTCTTGATATTTTAAAATTCCAGTTATATGTGCGCTTTCATTTGAATTCTTTTGAATCTAGATTTTTTTTTTTTAATTGCTACAAGTAAGATTGATTTCAAGTGGTAGCGTAGTTCATGGTTAATGAACTGCAGGAATAGATGCTATGTTTCAGTTGTGGAAACATTAAAACTTTGATTGAAATGATAATCTTCCTCACCATACAGTTCTTTTTTTTCCCGCATCAGCCTCAACTCCCTTTAGGATTACAACAGCTGGATTCACAGGTGCTAAATGCATCACACTGCACTTGGTAGTTTAAATTATCCTGGGAAAGATTTTGGTTCTGTGTCCTTCCCCAAAAGGGTGTTATTGGGACAGGAGTTTGGTAGAGGAGCTGAGGTGCTGCTTGGCACACCCGCACCACCCATGGGTGCCCATTGAGAGTCTCAGCTTTCTGTTCCCGATCCCTGCTTCCTTTTGCTGTGCACCCTGGGAACCAGCAGGTGCTGGCTTGAGTATTTGGGTCCCTGCCACCCACATGAGAGTTCAGGTTTCTAACTTTCCCCTGGCCTTGCCTCAGCTGTTGTGGACATTTGGGAGAGTAAACTAGTGGATTGAATGGGTTCTGTCAAACAAATAGAAAAGAACTAATTTTTTTTTAAGATTTTATTATTATTTTTTTATTACAAAGTCAGATATACAGAGAGGAGAGACAGAGAGGAAGATCTTCCGTCCGATGATTCACTCCCCAAGTGAGCGCAACGGCCGATGCTATGCCAGGAACCTCTTCCGGGTCTCCCACACGGGTGCAGGGTCCCAAAGCTTTGGGCCGTCCTCCACTGCTTTCCCGGGCCACAGGCAGGGAGCTGGAAGGGAAGTGGGGCTGCCAGGATTAGAACCAGCGCCCATATGGGATCCCGGGCGTGCAAGGCGAGGACCTTTAACCACTTGCGCCACTGCGCCGGGCCCAAGAACTAATTTTTTAAAGGTATTTAGTGAAGTCTGGAATGCCTACTTCGTGGCTGGAGTCTTGTTGATCTGCTTTACACAGTGAAGCTTTTATGGAAAATATGCTGTGAGAGTTGTCTCTTTTGCAGGGTAATCTGCTTTAACTAGATCAGTGTTTATTGTCAGAGCAGAGGAGAACGCTGTTGTACATAGAGGCCATAACTCGTGAATCAGCTTTCAATGAAACAATCACTTGAATTCTGCTCAGTACACAGTGTTTGGAAGATGATGAAATGTGAAGAGCTGCTTTGTGAAAGCAGTGTTTTGGGGAACTTTCCAGACTGCCAACCCTCAGGCTGTCCTTGGTGATTGCAGATTGGAATCTAAGGGCAGGCCTCATGGCATAGCTAAGCTTTACAGATTGTCAGCAGTAGCCTAATGGCTAAAGTCCTTGCCTTGCACACAGCAGGATCCCATATGGGCACCAGTTCATATCCCCAGCTGCTCCCTTTCCCTTCCAGCTTCCTGCTTGTGGCCTGGAAAGCAATGGAAGATGTCCCAAAGCCTTGGGACCCTGAATTCCAATGGAAGCTCTAGAAGAAACTCCTGGCTGCAGATCAGATTGAATCAGCTCCAGCTGTTGTGCTGCTTGGGAAGTGAACCAGATGATGGGTGATCTTTCTCTCCATAAATCTAACTTTCCAATAAAAATAAATAAATCTTTAAGGGTAGGTACCATGGTCCACCATGCTTCATTTACCGCAAGCAGGCCATCCGAGCTCAGTCCCAACAGATGCACATGCATATACGTTAGTGAGAACTGCTGGGTTTGCCACGCTGCTGCAAGTGTATCTTTTTCCCCACATCAAGCCCTGAAGCAGCCAAGAACTGCAGAGCACCTCTGAAACTCAAGCATGTATAATGAACCTGACAGCCCCTTGCCAGCCCAACGGAGCCAGAACATCTTGGAGCTCAAGGATCCTTGAGCTCTTTCCCACCTGTCACATGGCTTCATGATTTTGTTAATTTTCTCAGTACTGAAAAAAAAAAGTGATCTTACATGTGTGAAATGTGTTCAGATGCTTTTTAACAGTCTGTGTGAAAATATATTTTTTAACATTTTGTATTTGAATACATACATTACCCAACTGTGTTTGATCTGCTTTACAGAGCAAAGGATCAAAGCTATGAAGAAATGAACTAGAAACAGCAATTATAGAAATTTAGAACATAGAATATTTCATCCAGGAAGCTAGCTACCAAATTTTTAGGTTAGTTGTATAAGGATTTTTAAAAGAAAAGAGCGTATGTACAAAGTAGGCTATGAAAGTGCTGTTTGAAATAACTTTTCTGAGGATTCTAGTTTTTTTTTTTTTTTCATTGAAAACAATGTATTTTAAAAATGGTTTCCCATCCTGTAGCTGGTCTGGAGGACTTTACAGAAGATGCCATGATACCACTGTCCCTCTGCTGCCTTATGTGTCCAGGAGATGCTTTTGGCCTTCCACTGTTTGCATCTGCTTTGGAGTTGTGTATACCGTGTGAAACCATCTTTGAATCAGAGCGTCCCAATGAACCTGTTTCTGGCTAGAATGCCAGTTAATTGCCAGCTTTTTAATCAGTAATTGGATGTTGACACCTCAGGAGAGCTTCACTAAAAACCACACTCCGCAGCCCATTGTACACTTTTGCCCATGACACAGTATCGGACCAGACCTTAGGCACGTCTCACCTGACAGAACTGCACCCACCATGGAAAGAATGACTAGCCCTTTGCCATGCTGTACCTGCTTATAGGGCACAATAGCCAATTCAGCTTACTCAAGAGTATGCTGCCACCAGAGAAAGAGACACTCTTGGTGGAAACATAAAAATCTAATAAACTAGAATTCCTCTGTTGGCAGAACATATGTATTTGTGCGTTCTTCAGTGATTAGCTCAATGAGTAGAGCGCGCTTCCTGGAAAGACCATGGTACACAAGTGTTTTCAATTTGAGCAAGTACATTTCTTCTAGTTGTCCTTGGGACACAAGGTTCACTGCCCTAGAGGTGACTTGGCTCAGTCTTTCAAACACACTAATGAATTTCAGCTTTGGAACAAAGAGGACTGCTCCAATGCAGACAATCGTGAACTCGAACTTCTTGCAGCTGTCTCGGGTGGCTCAGTTACGTTCCTGCAGAGGCTGGGTCGTGCTGCTGCCTCCAGGCCCTGCACATTGCCTCACTTAGGTGTTCGGTGCTCCCTGCTTCAGTGTCCCAAGTTTGGTAGAGCCCTTCATTTTAATACCTTGCACTCAGAGAAAACAGGGCAAAGAACATCTGAGTGCAAGTGGAAGAATTAAAGGACACATTGAAACAACATCTCAGTAACCTGCCAAGGCCAGTTTGAGCTGGTACATCTGTTTTTCCTCCCAGCTGTTTGAAGCAAGGGAGATGTCTTTCATCCTCACTGCTGATCTGCTTCGTTTAGGGGTCTTCTTGCTCTCCAGCTCGCAGCCCACCCAAAAGGTCCCAGGAAGCAGAGGAACTGAATGTAAGGAAGCTTGTTTTGAGCAAGTGAAGTCTCAGATGCCCGTGGAAGAAGATGGCAAAGCTCAGGCTACATATTACCCACCATAACCTGCGCATCTTGGGCCGAGCTGACGGACTTGATCCTGACTGGCTTGGAAGACAAGTGCAGGGGAACAGCTTTGCCTTGGCGATGTGTCTTGGTCATGTGCTCACAGTGAGTGACAGTGTGTCCGGCCAGTAGGTGAAAAAAAGGCACTGACTGCATGAATTCCTTTCTCTGCAGAAAGTCGGCCATAGAGTATAATTTCTTTATGGAGGGAGAATTGCCAAATTCTGTGCGTAACACATTTGCTGGGACTGTGTGCAAGCCATGCGACCCTCCTGTAGTCCTCGGTTTCCTCATTCCCAATTCAAGCAAACGGGCTGAACAGTCGGGCTCCTGAGGCCCTTACTGGCTGTCAGTCTCAAGTTCAGTTTCTTACACACATAGGTAGTTGAACTTCAGTTATGTTGGTTAATTAGAAATGGCCGATAAGCTCTTCCAGCAGTAACGCTCAAGTGCTGCAGAAAGCTTGTGTCAGGTTTGCAAAGATTCTGATCAGTGAAATTCCTGGGTGATGGAACACACCCAGGTGCCAGACAGAAGTGGTCAGATGACAGCGTGCCATCAGCACTGAGTGCTGCTGGGGTGGGGGCCTGTTTGAGATCCTAAGCGACAGCATGTCCAGCAGGCAGCGCAGCAGGAAAGATTGTGCTTCCTCGCAGTCCTGCCAGTCCCTAGACAGCCAAACCTGCTAGCCTCATAGCCTTCACCCCACCCCCAAACCAAGTCTAACTGCGCGGTCATTTTGTAAAAAGGGTTAAGTCCTTTTCAGGGTTGAAAGCTGAAAGATAACTTACACAAAAATATCTGGCAGGTAAGGGAGCCTTGATCAACACAGAATTAAAAACAGCAGTTTGTGAAGGCCACAGACAATCTCTGAAGGCCAAGGAGCCGGGCACAACACCCTACAGGCCACTTGAGGACATGAGGCCTTCAAGTGCCTGCAACCTCGTGGTACAGAGACCAGAAACACTAGAGTTGAGATTCAAGTCTCCTGATTGCAAACTTGAGTTCTCTTTCAGCATCCTACCATCACGTCACTGCACTTGGTGTGATGAACTTTCCAGTCCAGGAACTGACTCTGGGAAAGGAAATAAATGATCAAAATGATCATGGTAGCTGTGGAGGGGCAGGTCAGGGAGGGGAGGGGTAGGCAAGTCCTTGCACCTTTTCGATAGGATGATAGCTGAGCAGCCATTTAAGACAAACCTAGGAAACACTAGCCAAGTCACTCTTTTTTTAATGGAACCTTAACTCTGAAGAAGCTCCTGGGGGTAGCTGGAAGACTTGAATATATCTGGGATGTCACTGTCCAGTTTGGAAATAATTTTATAAATGGGTTTCTTCCAGGACGGATCTGTGTCCTTCCCCGCGGAGACAGCCCTGAAGAACTCCTGGAAGGTCAAGCTGGCGATCTCCAGGAAACAGTCTGGTACCTGTGATCACAAAGAGACCCCCAAGAAAGGAAAGACGTGAGGCTGGGAAGCACGGGCGCCACTCGGTCCCCCTCTCGGTCCCCCTGGCTCAGGCCCCCTGTACCTCGGGCAGCAGCTCCACTGGCCCTTGGTGTCCACATCCCCAGGAATCCCCTGCAGCCCCGTCCAGCACAAACCCCTTAAGGAGGCTCCACAAAGACAGGGGTGTTGGGACCACTCCCCTGTGGGAGGAGCCCATTCCACAGCATGACTTTAGTGAGTAGGATATTCTCCTTGGAATCAGGTCTGTGGCTTGGTCTGGTCATCCTTGCCATGAGAACCTATTGTAGAAAGAGCGCTCCAAGTTTACAGCTGCCATGCCCTTCAAGGCTGGAACCCAGAGGCATGCATTCCTGCTTCCAATGCCATTTGAGCAAAACTAGCAGAACCCTCACCCACAAGTCCTCCAGATCTAGCAGTACCTACTAGTTGGCACATAACCATCCCCATGCAGAAAGATGGGACAACTACCCCTGAGCTACACTGGCTTGGATCCCTTGAGCCACAGAAGGGAGGCCTACCTAGTCCATTTCCCATCTGGTGGGCACAGATGCCCAAAGATAATCTGAGCATCCAACCAGGGGGTGCCAGTGGTTCTTTTCTTTATTGGAGAGGTCAGTCACCTGCCCTTTGACATCACAGTCGAGTGAGGAAGACAAGAGGGAAGGCTGAGCAGATGCAGATGGCAGCTCCAAGAAAAGGTGCCAACCCAACAGCTGCCAGCTGCCTGGGGGCAAGGTGTGGCGCTTGACACCTGGGCCCCCTCCTGACCTTTAAGGTGCCACCACATGCCTTCATGGAGATCGCCAGGGACTAGGTGGCTCTAGCACTGTTTAGTCATGATTTCAGAAAGAAAAGTCTTCAACTGAGAATATGAGTGAGAGCCAGATGGTGGGCAAAAATCATTGTTTAGAAAACCTAGACTAAGAAGAGGGTTTCCAGTGGAACTCAGCTTTTCGTCCTGAGCCTCCTGGCACTAAGGCAACATATTACATGACCTGGTCATGGAAAAATATTGAGGTTAAAGTGGCAGGACATCTGGTCAACCTCTATCTAAGCCTTAGGACATTCATTCAGAATGCTGTGTGCCACAAGATGTGAAACTGTGGTCTCTGGGGAAGAGATGGAGACTGCCCCTCTCGGGGACTGAAAGTCAGACCTCAGGGGACCTGAGGACCTAGTCTTACCTCGAAGTCATTTCCCTTGTTATAGTGCGTGTTGAGAGCTCGGAAAAGTTCTGAATCACGGAGAACCACCAGCATCTTGGGATTTGTGATGCCATCCGAAATTGCTTGCCGGGCAGATTTTTCCATTTGGATATAATAAAACTCACGGAAGTTGCTGAACCACTTGATCATCTGGGAGGTGATGCAGCGATTGAACTGTGCAGACAAAGAGCCCATCAAGTCAGACTGGGCAGGAGGCTCTCAGGATGAAAGCAGTCAGCTTCCAGTTCAGCAGGGGTTGCCAACATTAACAAGGGCTGCCAGCCATGTCTATCTACTGAGCCTATTCAGTTACACTCCAAAATAGCTACAATGCCCTTTAGAAATGTCTCTTTTTTTTTTACAAAGGTTTTTCGCCAATGTAAAGTGGGACTGGAAGGGACCCAGGTCAAGGCAAAAGGGTGCCAACTTTTGCTATGTTCAGGGAAATTGCATGGCAGCCCTGTAGCCTTCTGCCGGGAAGAGGGCCAAGAGAAGGGGTGTGGTGCACAGCCAGAGAGCAGTTTATCAGCAACTCCAAGTTGCAGGATGAACTGAAATTGAAATCAGAGTTTGTGCAGAGAGCAGCCACGCAACTGAAAATGAGAGTCAGACCTGAAAAACATGGATGAGATCAATCTAAAGTATCAGCAGCCCTTCTCCCAGCTCCCAGGATGAAGAATGCCTTTGCACACGGTGTGGGAGCAAGTGAAGTTTGCTTCCCACTGAACTTGGTTTTGCTCATTGTCACACTTGGCCTGATTTTAAATCATGGCAATTTGGGTGTGCATTAGGCAGTGTGTGGCTCAACATATTTATTTTTTTTAAATGTTCCCTCTCTCCTAGAGACAGAAAGCTTGGCACAAGATGCCTCTTACTGGTGTTTTTCTCAGCACCTAACTTTCCTTTTCACCTGATTCTGGAGTTATCTACAGGTCAAAACTTTCAAGCTTTGGATGGCAAATCTTCCAAGCCAAAGGGTGTTATTATTTGGGCAGAATCTCAGCCCAGAATTCAGTTGTGCTGATTCCATCAACCACTCAAAGGAGATCTCATGCACAATTATGATGGTGACCATGAGCTAACACTGGCAGAGCACACTTGGGAATTCTGCAGAATGACTTTACCTGCACATCAGGGAAACAGGCCTTCAGGAGGTTGGAGCTGGGGTACCGTGTGAAGAAAAACATCAGCTTGGCCTTCTTCAAGTGACCTGGAGTGAGGCTCTCCTGGATTTAGCTTAGTGTCAAGGAAAACCAACATCTTAAAACACTAGAGGTCATCGATAATTTTATCCAATATCATTATCGAAATGATGTGTTGTGCTGTTTGTGATTTTTTTCTGACAGAATGATGTCTTTGCTCCATTTTTCTGTCCCTGAAAGCCCTGATCAAATAAATTGGATACCATATACGCAGTGAGATTGCAGGATTTTAAAGGCATCTTGGTGTGCACAAGTTGTATGACACATCTGTTGTCCAATTTGCTTTATGTGGTGCCTGCTTTCAGAATGGGAGGGGATGAGATGGCTAATATACCCTAGATGACTCCAAGTTGAGATTTACTGCCCTTGTCTGCCTTAGTTTCCTCATTTAAAACAAGGTGGAGTTGATGGACGAATGATGGATAGAGTGTGATGAGGTAGTCCCCACTGCCTGCTAACATCTAAATAAACTGAGCACTAGCTCAAGAAATGTGGATGGGGCTCAGTATGATGGCTTTATTGGCTAACTTCTTATCTTGCAAGTGCCAGGATCCCATGTGGGTGCCAGTTCATGTTCTAACTGCTCGACTTTCCATCCAATTCCCTGCTAATGGCCTGGGAAAGCAGTCGGGGATAGCCCAAAGCCTTGGGACCCTGTACCTGCATGGGAGGCCCAGAAGAAGCTTCTGGCTCCTGAATTAGGATCAGCTCATCTCCAGACATTGCAGCTATTTGGGGAGTGAATCAGTGACTACAAGAGTGCTTTCTATCTCCTCTGTAAATCTGATCTGCCTTTACAATAAAATAAATCAATCCTAAAAAAAAAAAAAAAAAGTGTATACCTGCACTTGCACCCCATCCCTATTTGCCTGGCAAGCAAAGCTTTCCCCAGAATCCCAGTTCTCAGACCAAAAGCTGCCTATTCTGGGAACCCATTCTTTCTGAATTAGGTCAGACTTCCTTGCCCTGGGCCATCAAGGTTCTTTGTACAAGCCTTTTTTGTAGGAATTTTTGCTCTATTTATCTCCCCTTGTAGACTGTGGGCTCCCAAAGGCAAGGACGTCATCTCTTCATCACTGTGTTCCCTGTGCCTAGTCCAGTGCTAGAAACATCATAGGTACCCAAGAAATGTTGACTGAAGGAGTGAGTGAATGGTTAACATTAATCCATATGCATGCATTGGAAACCTGTGTTCAAAATCATACCTCAGCCTAAGGAACTGTATCATGAAAAAGATAAATAATTAAAAAAAAAAAAAAATCAGGCAGCAGATCCTTCCCATTTAGCAAGAGCTGGGGAGCTGTGGCATAGACAGGGCTCAGCTTAGGAATAAGCATTGCACAGAACCACCATGGCTCATGTGAGAGCCCTAGCTTTAGGACAGTTAAGGACTTCCCAGTAGGGGCAGCGCTTTAGTGTGGCTTCATTAAAGCCACCTGCAGTTCTGGCTTCCCATGTGGTTCAAGTCTCAGTTGTTCCACTTGTACTGCAGCTTTCGTCCAATGTGCCTGGCAAAGCACTGGAGGATGGTCCAAGTGCTTGGGCCCTGCCACTCATTTGGAGATCCAGATGGAGTTCAAGTGACTACTGGCTTCAGCCTGGCCCAGATCTTGCTCTTGTAGCTATTTTGGGAAGTGAGCCAGAGAAGCTAGACAAGTCTCTTTGCTGCTCCTTGGCTCTCCCTGTCTTTCAAATAAATAAATCTGAGAGAAAGACTTCCCAGTAAGATCGTTAAGTTTGGTCAGAAGAAACCAAACCAACTGTGGTTACAGCTGCCATGGGCACCAGGCCACTGCACAGAAGACCCTGTTTTGTCCTCATAATTCTGGCAGATGCACATCTGCCAGGGGAAGTCCCTGCACTTGGGAGCCACAGGCTCAGCTTCAGATGCTGATTCTGCCTTCAGGAAGCCACTGAACTCTCAAAGTGTAATGAAGGCTTGTGGTTGGCCATCACAACCTGGGTTTGAATCCCATCTCCCCACTTCAGACAAGCTGGTTCAACATCTTTGTTCCTGCTGCTCCAGTCAGCACCTGACCCAAATGGGGTTACTTGATTGTGAGATAAGAGAAGCCCATCAGCCCCTCTGGGCCACCTGGAGTTCAGAACTCAGAACTGCTGTTCTGTAGAGGTGAGAGGTGTATACACAGAGCCGCTGCGTAATCCAATACACTGCCATTGCTAAAGCAAACCCATGACTGCTTAAGCAGAGAGAGAATCTATAAATAGCCTCCAAGCTGAGCACAAATTTTGCCACTGGGAAAGTCCGAATCAATCTTAGAAGGGAAAAAAATCCTAGAGCTTTCCCAAGTCTCTTGGAATCTAGAACTGTGGCTGAATGGAGAGGACCATGTACCCGGAAGTCTCTAGCCCCAGTGTTTGTCACAAAGCACCAAAGGATGCTCTCCTCCTCCTGGTCTTTGCACTCGTCCTCCCTGCCCCACAGGAATTTGTGAGTGACAGCATACTCTCACATTTTTAAAGCTGCTTGCCTGTAGGTGGCTGTAGGGGCCTCCAAGACTCCCAACTCTAGTGCTGGGCTATAGGCAGCAGGACCAAGGGAGTAGTTGGGACCCCAGGGTGATGTGTGTTAACATCAGTCTCTTAAGAAAGGTCCAGTCAGGTAGTCTTTCTCTTGCACAAGGCCTGTCCAGCTGGTATCGGCTTATGAGGTGCCAGGCAGCGTCCTTGGAGTTGGGTTTAACAGGTGCTCACTGCCTTCCAGGAAATCCTGAGCTTTTAGCTGTTTCTAACCCCCATGACCAGCAGAGGGCGCACCCAGAACACTAGGTAGAGTGCTCAGGAGATAATAAACCGGCCCCTGGGATTCTGTAGCAGCGGCCAAGCATAGGACACCCCTGTTCCCTGCAGGTTACGAGACTCCTAGGACTTGGTAACCTGCTAAGTCTGGACTGAAGGCTGCCCACACAAAGCAGCAGCAAGGGCACAGTTCACTCAAAGGGCAACACCCCCAAAACACCCTCCAGAGCCTGGTGTTGTCCTGCAGGTGCTTTGAGCCACCGCTTCTTGGCACTAGCATCCCAGATCAGAGCGCCACTTGTCATCCAGCTCCCTGCCAATGTGGCTGGGAAGGCGGAAGAAGGCAGCGCAAGTCCTTGGGCCTCTGCCACCCATGTGGGAGACCTGGATGGATTTCCAGCCTTGCCCAGCCCTAGCTACTGTGGCCATCTGTCTCTCCCTTTTTCTCTCTCTTTCACTCTTTCCAGTAAACAAATCTTTAAGAGAAAAATTTTTAAATGTCCTCAGAAACTAGTTCTTCAGGACACTTGTTGGAAGAGTGTTTATTGTCGCATGAGTGGGAGGCTACATACATGGTACTCTTCGTGTCACATCAGACTGCAACCTGTCTAAAGCCCCCGAGAAGCTGGCCGGGAAAGGAACTAACCCAGAATTTACAAACCAATCTGTTTTCCCTTCTAACTCAGCCACTACCACTGTCCTTCCTTTGGGAGACACTGTCAGAGACCATGGGGGGGTCTGCCTGAAGGTTGGTGCCATCAGCTCTGGCCCCCAGCTGCTGGGTGGGTGCAGCGTGTGCCCCCAAAATTACCTGGGGACATGGGTAGCTGGCAAGCTACAGAGAGCCACTGTAGCCCGATCAGTGCATCCTGGAAGCTCATCTGAGTTTACAATCAAAACTCTCTCCAAGGAACCGGCCAAGAGTAGCAAACAGTCACATATGAGAAAAGAACACCCTAGCATGTTTGCATCCTACAACGTTCTAGAATACAGGCGTGCTACCACTTTCCCAGGATGTAATGAGAAGGGAGCCGGTTGGGGAGGCGGGACCGTGTCTGGCGTAATCGCTGAATTCCCCTCACCCTCACCTCCTCCACAACCGCGGGAGGTTCTGGGGACGCCCCTCACCGACTAGTAAAGGATATAGGACCAGGAGCGAAGGCCGGTGTCTCGGTGACGGCCGGCAGGTGGCGCTGCGGCTCCATCCTCACCTTGGGGAGGAAGGGGAAGCGCCCCAGGCCGGTGGCGGAGGCCGGCAGGGGGCGCTGCTGCTGGTTCGGCACCGACGACGTTGGCCGAGCGGCTTCCCAGGGTGCAGGCACTGACTCCGAGCATTGGTGGCTTAGAAGAGGCGAGGGCTGGCGTACACTGCCGCCCCAGCGGCCCAGAAGCTGACTCTCCTGGATGTAGGAAGGCCCAGCCAAGGGGCACTCTGCCGGGGGAGCCTGATAGGGCATGGGGGTGCTGCTTGGAGAGCCAGGGTGGCGAGGGGACTCCAGAGGCTTGGCCATCGGCCAGTCTCCCCAAGGAACCCCAGCTTGCAGCTGCACCCTCCTGGGCAAGGCGGCCAAAGCAAGTGACTCTGGATGGACATCTGTGCCAGGAGGGGAGAGCTCCCTCCTGCCCCTCGGCACTAGCACCTGGAAGTTTCTGTCCCACTGAGCCGGCAGGCGTAGTGGGTCCAGCAGGATCTTCTGCAAGACCGCATCCACAGCTTGGGACACAGCCCCGGGCAGCTCTTCCCGCAGTCTCTCCAGCAAAGCCTGAGTCCCAGGGGGAGGGAAGCTGGGCTCCGACAGGCACTGGACCACAGCCGCTCTGGCCTTTTCCACCCTTGACCGGTTCCTGCTGGCGCCATAGCCATGGTCGCCGTCCATGCTCCAGGGACCCGGTCTGCAGCAGGCGGGCTGCTGCTGTCCACTCCCAGGGCCCTTAGCCTTGTTGGAGTCCGCTGGACGCTGAGGCCCCACAACCTGTCCTGTGCACTGCTGCAAGTGTCCCAGCTGTTCCGCCGCGCGGGGGCCCACCTTCCGGGCAGCGCCTGACCTTAACGGCCCTTGGTGTGCTGGGACGTTCTGCTTCCTCCTGTGTGCCCGGGCCTTCTCAAGGAAGCCTGGGCCACCCCTGGCTCGGCGGGCATCTCCTGGCACCAGAGGCTGGGGTGAGAGACACATGCCTTGGACGATGGTCTCTACTCTGGCCCTCTTGGCCTGGATGTGCTCATCCCATAGCCCGTTGGGGCGGGCAAGGCCAGAGCTGCGGACCAGGCTCCAGGACGAGGGGCCATCTTCACCCATCTCTGGGGACAAGGGGCTTTGCTCACCTTCCATGGGAAACGGCGCTGCCAGGTGGCAGCAAGTCTGGGAATAAGACGAAAGCAAGGGCACTAAGGAGTCAAGGGCTTCAGAGCATTCAGGACCAGAGCTGGGGAACCCTGTCTGTCCTTAGAACAGCACAAGACAGCTTTGGCAGATTTGGGAAGGCAAGGGGGGCGGTGTGCGGCAGACCTCTTGGGCGTGTCTGAAATCAAAGGAAGAAAATAGAATGTGAGGCCCCCAGTAAATAACTTGGTTTGCCATCTTGTTAAAAATGCAGATTGTAGGGCCAGCGCCGACTTTGCCAAGTCTCCTTGGTAAGTTTAAGACATTTTCCCAAGGTTGCACGGAGGTAAAATTACTAGGGTAAGAGCCGTCCGGTGTCCTTCCAGAAGCAGCCAGGCCGCCCGGAGGCCGCTCCGCCCCTCTGCAGGCCCGGCCTGGGCGCAGCCTGGAAGCAGGAAGCGGGCACCGCCCACAGCCCTGGGGCGGTGGCGAACTTCCCGGCTCCAGCGTGAGGCGGTCCCCGCGATCTGGCTCTCCCCGGGAGGACCAGCCGCACCCCAACCCCTCAGACACCGCCTCTTTGCTTTTGGGGAATCATGGACGCCTGTGGAGAGATGTGTCGGGGGGAGTACCCAAAGGGAACATTTCTGCATTGTTACCTAAGCTTTTCTCCTACCATGCAGACCAATTTATATCATGTCTTAAATATTTTTTCATGCATTTGAAAGGCAGGAAGGATTAGGGGAGGAGAGGGAGAAAGGAATGGAGACCATCTTCCATGGGCTTGCCCACACTCTGATGCTTACAGCAAGAGTGGAGCCAGGTGAAGCCAGCAGCTCTATTGTGGGCTCCCACGTGGATGACAGGGTGGGATGCATATTAGCCATAAAATGGTCCAGAAGTAGAGGGGACCACACCCATACCCTCTCTCTCCACCCTAATCGCAGGCTCACATGGGCATGGAGCCATCTAAACTATGCAAATACTACTTTTAAAAAATTAGTTAAAAATAAAAGTGAAGCTGAGACTTGACCCCACGCATTTGGGTGTGGGAAGCGGGTATCCCAACACCGACCCCTGTGTAAGCTCTCATAATTGAACACTTTGAATTGAATAACCTAAGCTACTAAACACGTTTTTTGTTGTTGGAAAACAAAGTAGTATTATGTCGTTATCTAGCCTCGGTTTTTTTTTCATGAATGTCAGTATGTGGCCACAGTATAAAAAGGTGATATAACCTTGTTTTACAATAACTGAAAAGTTATTAAACAGAAAAATTCAATGAGAAAAGATAAGAAACATAACAAGGTATTAGCACTTTTTATGGATGACAGGATCACAGGTCATTTTTTCTCTAGATCATCTTTTTACTTTTCTTTATCTTCTATATTTTCTTCTATATTTTCAATGAATATGTTTTCCCTTCATACTTAAAAAAAAAATGAACTTGGCATTTGTGCATTAAAAGTTTGCATTTATGGGGGCGGCTAGGCCCTCTGGGGGCAGGGGCTAGGAGGGAAATCATTGTCTCTGTCGCCCAGTCCTACTGTAAATCTGAAAGAGAAGTTGACTTGAAGACACACCAACTCGCAGTTTCTCTCCTGACCTCTTCCCCAGATGCCAAGACATTAGCAGTCCCATGAGAGAAGCAAAAAACGCTGCCGACGCAGCACGGGAGACAGGGCCAACAGGACCACTCAGAGATGTGAGATTTTGTCACTGGAAAGAAGCAGCTGCAGGCTTGCACCTCAGCCAGACGATGGGTGGGGTCGCCCCTCAGGGGGACAGTGACTTCCCCAGGGCAGACATCCCCTCCCACTTGTCAGCCGCTCTCACTGTGCGCCTGTGCCTGTCCCGGCCTCTGCCCCCAAGGTCTCTTCAAGGCCTGCCCACGTGGGCCCAGGGGACCAGTGCCTCTGGGATCAGTGGAGCAGAGGCCATGGCTCACAAGGCTGCGTGTCCACACTGCCAGACTAGCAAACACCTCTGGTGCTCTCTTCCAGGGCCGTAGCAGGGAGCTTGGGGGAGGGTGGACACCAATCAACAAAGCAGAGTGGGCTGTGGGGACCCCTCAGCTGGAGAGACACCAGCCCATTCTCATGTCTGCCCTCCAGGCTCAATCCAGATCTTTCCAAGGTTTACTACTGTTCTTTCCTCGGTAAAGTCCCCGCCAGGTTGTACTCAAGAGGGCTTAGTGGGTTTTGTTGCTTTTCTTTGCGGTACTGTGCCAGCTCATTTCCTAGATTCAGGTGGATTTTTGCAGCTGGATTCCAAATGGCTGATAGTGGAGCGCCCCTTACGCTCCCCCCAATGCTAAGGTGGCAGGGACTGGGGAGTGGGGTGGGGCGGTGGGGAGAGTATACATTCTCCTGGAACAGCCTTTCCTGTGCAGGTTCTGGACCTCAGGGTCCACCATGATAAAGGCCCCTTCATCATATTTATGTTGGAATATGCTTACAGCTCACGGGGGTCCTGACCGGGCTCCTCTACAGATACAGTGGTCTGTGATATCTGTGAACTGTGGAAGGACATAGTGCAGCATCTTGGTCGGAATTACTAGTTCTGTGTGACTTCATGCGAACCAATATTCCCTCTTGCCTCTCTGAGTTTCTCATCTGGGTTGATATCATCCCAGCTCCAGGGGTGGCGGGGAGGATCACATACACCAAGCACACCGGTACAGATACAGCTTCCCTTCCTCCTAGGTGGTGGTGGGAGGATGGCAGCCATGAACTCCAGTGCTGGAAGAGACTCAGGGGAGGGGGTGTGTCGGGGGGGGCATCTCATACAACCGCTGCTTTCTGGACCTTCCGGCCTCACTGATGAACAAAAGGGGAAGAACAGAACGTTTGGACCAGTTTGGGAGTGGCTGCTGTTCATTTTGAAGAGAAGGATCTATTTCAATATGCAAATAAACTTTGGGAAAAGCTGTCCCCACCAGCATTCCTCACAAGCACCCACACTAGCTCGTGTGAGGGATCCCTGAGGCTTTGTGCAAAGCACGCCCTTGCTTAGCGGATGAGGAAAGAGAAGACTGGCGCCGTATGGTGAAGCAACCGGCCCAAGGTCACTCCAGGGCTGCACCACCTGGTTACTCTCTAGGAAGTCTGCCCCATGCTCCCTGCATGCTGTGCCCGGGTGCCCTGGCTGGGAGGCAGGAGTTCTGGACCCATCTCCCAAGCCTTTGGCCCCCCGGCTGCACTGCTGCTCTTTCTATTTTTTTGAACTAATAGTCACCCTGCCAGTTGGTACAGGTTTGAGAAGCAAAGGCGAGAAGAACTCCCAAAGGACTCCTGGGAGGTGTCCCTGGCCAGCTGGAGGGTGGGTGTTACTGAGGGGAGAGCTGGGGGCTAAAAGTTGTCCACAACCAGTAACTTAACTTGAAAATCTCCTAGCCCAGGCAAAAAGATGAAATATACATGGAAACAAGTTAACCTCCTAAGGAACCTTGCTTCATCAGCAACAGCCTTCTGGCAAGATAAAGAGAAGAAACAGTGTTACTTACGGAAAAGCAGAGGTCCTCACAGGTGGTCCGGGGCTGGGCCCTTTGGACAGGTCAGGCCCTACATCCAGGCGGCCAGCTGGTGGTCACCAGTGTTGGGTAGACAAAGTCTGGGTCAGGAAGTGATTTTGGTTTCCCTGCTTCCTCCCCAGGCAGGCCTGGTGCCCCTAGCTGGGTAAGGGAAGCCTATTGCCCTTTGCAATGCAAGGCACCAGCTGACAGCCCCAGGCTGTGCTGCAGCTTCTGCCGCTGGGGACCTAGGGGGCTGCTCAGCATAGCCAACCACTGGGGGCTGCCTATGAATATGCAAACGGAGGCCAGAGCTGGTTGGCTGACCACCCCTGCCATTTCCCAACCCTACTCCAACTCAGGTGGCCTGAAAAGGCACAGGAGAGAGGACCTGCAGGGACTGAACTCTGAACTGCCCAGCTGCTCCCTAGGCCCTATGGCCCTACGAGGTACTCTGTTCCTTTGCCTCCAAATTCTCTAGCGAGACAGCTCCAAAGAGAGCCATTTTCCTCCTGTCCCAGAAGCATCCGGAAGAGCCTAGGATTGGCCCAGCACCAAACCCTGGCATGCGGCCGTCCCCCGAGGTGGGCCAAAACACAGGAACAAAAACCTGTGTTTTTGCTCGACTGTTTCTGTTCGACTGAAAAACATGCAGAACTCCCCCAATCATAGCAGGGGAGGGGAAAGGGAAGCCACAGAATGCTACCTTTCCAGGAAGTTCAAAACTAGGCACCCCCCAAACCCACCTAAAGTCAGTCTAGATTTTCATGGTGTATTCATCTATTCATTATATATTTTTTAAAATATTTAGTTTATCTTTATCACAAAGTCAGATATATAGAGAGGAGGAGAGACAGAGAGGAAGATTTTCCGTCTGATGATTCACACCCCAAGTGAGCGCAACAGCCACTGTTCGAAGCCAGGAGCCAGGAACTTCCTCCAGGTCCCCCACACGGGAGCAGGATCCCAAAGCACTGGGCCATCCTCAATGGCTTTTTCAGGCCACAGGCAAGGAGCTGAATGGCAAGTGGAGCCGCCAGGACTTGAACTGGTGCCCATACTATGGGATGCTGGCACTTGCAGGCAGGAGCATAGCTTGCTATGCCACAGAACTGGGCATATGAATGTTCCCCTCCTTTTTTTTTCTTTCTCTTCTGAACCCTGTCACATTTTGAATTTATAACTTTTGTCCTAATAATGCTGTGTTCTGAGAGACTCTGAATGTTGAAGGTGACGCTAGCTGACTGGGCTGTACCTTGGACTCCACGGAAGCATAGATGTGAAATACAAGAAAATCAATTTCAGTCTTTGGCCTCTGAGAAGGACTTTGCATGGTACCTACATGAGGCTGTGCATATATGCTATGTCTAAGGCCATAAAATTTAAGGTTAACTTGGGTGAACCCTAAAACTTCAGATCTGTTCTTTGCTACCATCATAACCAGGCTTGAGCTTCTAAACCTTAGATAAGAATTAAAAAATTAATGATTAAAAACAGTGAAAGGATTAAGTAGCTATGTAAGAACCATTAACAGCAACAGCAGCTAAAGACTGCCTCAGCTCCTAATTTCTGCTGTTGGCCTCCTTGACTGTGTCTATCAATGTCACACATAGAAGGATGGTCATTTTTCCAAATGTTCCTGGAGAGCCTAAAGAGAATGAGGCACTGTGTCAAACTCAGAAGGTTCAGCAAAGCTGAGCCCATTGTTTCTCCCACCTATTGCTCTGCCCAATAGAAGAAATAGCCAGGTGAGCGGAACGTTATAATACAATCCAAATGAGAGGTACAGCCACATTGCCTTGAAAGTCTAGAGAAAGTACCACTGCGGCTGCCAGAGGGCATTAGGGAGGGTTCCAGAAGGAGACTTAAAGGATGATTGCTAGTGCCTAGGTAAATAGGGAATGACTGGGCAAAGATGCCAGCCAGTGAAACAGCACCCTGGCCAGCAGTGGGTGGCTGGAACAAAGACTGGCATAGGTCAGAGAAGCCAGGTTATCAGGTGCCTGGGCAAGTTAAAGAGTTTGGACTTCAGGGCACGGTGCAGTGGCCAGCGGCTAAAGTCCTTGCCTTGAATGCCAGGATCCCATATGGGTGCCGGTTCTAATCCCGGCAGCTCCACTTCCCATCCAGCTCCCTGCTTGTGGCCTGGGAAAGCAGTCGAGGACAGCCCAAGGCATTGGGATCCTGCACCCATGTGGGAGACCTGTAAGAAGTTCCTGGATCCTGGCTTTGGATCGGTATAGCATCGGCCGTTGCGCTCACTAGGGAATTGAGTCATTGGACAAAAAATCTTCCTCTCTGTCGCTCCTCCTCTCTGTATATCTGACTTAGTGATAAATTAAAAAAATTTTTAAAAAAAGAGTTTGGACTTGAGGGAGTTTGGACAAAGAGGGAGAAGGAATTTTGGCAGGATTAGGTTTGTCTTTCAAATTCTCTGGATACAACCACTGCCTGTAACAGCAGCATCCCATCTGGGCACCAGTTTGAGTCCTACCTGCTCTGCCTCCACTTGTGACCCAGCTCCCTGCTAATGCACCTGGGAAAGCAGTAGAAGATGGTCCAAGTACCTGGGCTCTTGTACCTGCATGGGAGACTCCAGGTTTCTGCCTTGCCCAGCCCTGGCCATTGCAGAGTATGGAATGAACCAGGGGATGGAAGATCTTGCTCTCCCTCTCTCTTTGTAATCTGTCTTTCAAATAATAAATAAATAAATAATAAATAAATAAATAAATAAATCTGAGAGAGCTTGCTTGCTTGCTCGCTTGCTCTGAAAATAACCTGGGTAAGGAAGAATGTCATGGCAGCAGTTGGACATGGATATTTCCCTTGTTACATTTGTTTAACTTATCTGCTTATTTTTATTCTATTTGAAATACAGAGAAAGATTAAGAGAGAGATCTCCCATCCGTGGGCTCACTTCCCCAAATGCCTGTAACGTCCAGGACTGGGCTAGCTGCAGCCAGGAGCCTAGGACCCCATCTGGGTCTCCCGTGTGGGTGGCAGGCACCCAGGGGGCTCAGATCTCCTGTATCCTTCCGGGGCCACAGACCAGGGGGAAGCGGAGGAACCAGGTCTTGACTCAGGCACTGTGACGTGAGCTGTGGGCAATCCAAGGCAGTGACTGAACCACAGTGCCCATGCCCATCCTTTCTCCTCCCTGTTTCTGGGGGCCGCCTCTGCTCATTCATCCAGAAGGGTAGTGGTAGTGAGAGGGCAGGTGGGTGAGAGGTTTACTGGGAGATTCCTGACCAGGTGGGCTGATTCAGGCGACGACAGCAGCATGGACAGGTATAGGGCAGGCAGCTCACTCGCTCTTTCACGCCTCGGTTCAGCCAACAGGTGTAGGGGGGCTGGTGTGACAGCTCAAGTGGCCAAATCTCCACCTACAAGTGCCAGCATCTCATATGGGCACTGGTTCATGTCCCAGCTGCTCTACTTCCCATCCAGCTCCCTGCTTGTGGCCTGGGAAAACAGTCGAGGACGGCCTAAAACCTTGGGACTCTGCACCCAAGTGGGAGACCCAGAAGAAAGCTCCTGGCTTTGGTTGACTCAGCTCTGGCTGTGGTGGCCATTTGGGGGAGTGATCCAGTGGATGCAAGATCTTTTTCTCCATCTCTCCTTCTCTCTATAAATCTGCCATTGCAATAAAAACTAAGTAAATCTTTAACAACAACAAAGGTGTATGGCACAAGCTCTCTGTTAGAAAGGTGAACCATACCACAGGGTCCTAGGAATTTGAGGAGGAGGAGGCCCCGTGGTTTTACTTTAAGGCACTAGCACAGCTGTGCACTGATAGCAGGAGGCCCAAATTTGGCCCACCAATACTGCTCCCCTACGCTAGACCTGTTCTTGTGCTGGGGTAGCAACCAACAGGCTGTAGTGAGGTCCTAGCTTGGCAGGAGAGCTTTGGCTCCTAAAAGGACAATGGGAGCCCTTGAACTGTTTCTGGGTAAGGGATCCAGGAGAGTCACACACGTGTGTGTTTGTGTGTGTGTGTGTGTGTGTGTGTGTGTGTGTGTAGCAAGGAGAAGTAAGGACATCAGCCCAAGGTCACACAAGGGTAAGATCTGGCATCCATGTCCGCCAGGTTCCGAGTTCAAGATGCGAGCCCTGGCCTTTGGCTCTCTGTTCCGGGTTAGGGCAAAATGGCTCAGGGACCTCGGGAGCCCCAGAATCTCCCGAGAAGGCGGCCAAACTCCAAGCCAGCTCTGCGGAAAGGCCCGGGAAGGCGCCACCCCGGGAGCTCTCCGATCGCCTACAGTCGTCGGCACCCTCAAGAGGAACAGCCCAGGCAGGCGAGAAGCGTGGCAGCCCAGCGTTCCCCGTGCCCCATCCCTCCACCATCCCACCAGCTGCCTAAACCTGAACGCCTGCCCCTGCCCCGCCCGGCCAATGGTTTGCTCCTAACCATACTCCCCCGCCGCGGGGTGGCGGGTGCAGAGGCCCGCCCCGCTTCCGGTTGTTGCCGGGCCCTTTATCCGGTGTCCGCCCGCCCGCCCTCGGCGCAGCTCCGCGATGCTGTCCCGCTCCCGCTGCGTGTCCCGGGCTTTCAGCCGCTCGCTCTCCGCCTTCCAGAAGGTGCGGTCCGGCCGGGGCCCTGAGCTGCACGGCTGCGGGCGGTGGTCGCGGGGAGAGCCGCCTGCCGGTGGACACACCCGGGCGGGGCCTTTCAGGCAGAGGGCGCAGCCGCGCCGGCCAGGCCGGGCACCAAGGGCACCGGGACGCGGAGGCCGCCTGGCCTTGGGGGGCTGCGCTGCGGCATACGCCCTGCACGGGCTCGGCTTGGGGGTGCTGGGGTGCCAGGATGGAGGGACCCTCCGCTCTCCTCCCTTGGGAAGCTACGTGTCGCTGGGCTGGGTCTGCAGGTGTCACATTTGTCCATGGGAGATGGCCCCGTCCCCAAACCAGTGCAGCTTGGAGGTGTACCAAAAACCGTTCTTTTTTTCCCCCTTTGTTAAGCCTGGGGTGATGTCTTGTCTTTCTCAACAGGGGAACTGCCCTCTGGGGAGACGCTCCCTGCCCGGTGAGTACTGCCCTTGGCGTCACCCCCTGGCGTGTGCATGTGTCAGGAAGTGGGGCTGTCCCTCCCGCGTGCCCTCCCCGCCAGCGCCAAAGACACCTGCAGTTCTGGTAGTCGCAGCTGCATACCTGGTTCGTTAGGGTTCGTGCCATTTCAGGAGTTTTTCTTAGTTGTGTGGGTATTCAGGCACCAAGCTGGGAATCCAGCAGCAACTGTTCGCACTAACTAGCCCTCCTATGGCTGCCAGCTCAGCATGCCTTACCAGGCACACTGTGGACAGTAGGCTGAGGAGGGAAGCCGGGCAGGTGGGTGTCAGAGACTCTTGGGACCAGGTGCATCCCCTGGGGTGTGATGGAGGCACAGGTGTGAAGCAGGAGGGAGAGCCGGAGGGACTTACACTAGGCCCCTGAGGAAGGAGAGGGGTTGCAGGTGTTGGGCAGCTGGAGGAAATGGGGTTTTGGCTAGGGCCGTGTGGCTAAGGGAGAGAGAGGCGTGAGAGAGAAAATGGTGTGGAGATTGTTGGAATGATTTTGGATTTATTAATCCCTCCCGGGGTGGGGTGCAGAGATTATTAATAGTTCATGGTCCACAACTTTTTACACTCTGTCTTGGATAAGATATGTGTCAGTTGAGTTCAACTTGTTGAAGGCTTCCGTGGTGTCACGTCCACTGCTCGGTGTATCCTGTGCGTTGTTTAGTTCATCATCACAAAGCCCAATGAGAGATGGTGTCTGTAAATGCCGAAGCTAAGGCAAGAGGCGTTAGGTCCCTGGGTCAAGGTCACTCAGTCAGCCGCTGGTTAAGCCAGGCTACCTGAGTTCTTTCTCAGGCCTGGACGCTGAATCGCTTAGGTCCTTGTTAACTTGTGTGCTCAATAAATGATTTATCGGGTGTTACAGCGCCGGCCCCCCATGCCTGGCCATAGGGAAACAAATAGGCTCCATTCTCCAGGAACATGAGCCCGCTCCTGGAAGGGATGGAAAACAGGGGTGGGGGAGTGTGGGGTGTGTGTGTGTGTGTGTACAGAAGGACGTACTTGCAACGTGGTTACCAAGAGAAGGCTGGGATGGGATGGTATCCCCAGCTTGGGAGAGGAGGTATTGTGGGCGTGTGGTACAGACTTCCCTGAAGAGGTTCCGTGGAAGCAGACTTCTGGGTGAAGGTGGGGAAGGGACTTGGCCAGTGAGGGAAGAGGACAGGAATCTCACGGTCAGAGAAATGGGATGGTCTGGGCGGGGCAGGACCATGTTGGGTGTCTGGACTTGCTTCTTAATCATGAGATCGCTGGAAGCCTACCACCGGGCCAGCTCCATGAGGGATTTCTGGGGTAGGAGTCCTGCAAAGTGGCAGGACAAGGGCAAGGCCCTGGCATATGAGGTTGCTTCTTGGGTAGGATTCCCCCGCTCCTCCGGGACGAGTTGTCATCTCGTGTATGAGGTGGGGATGGTGGTAGGTGGTGTGGTCCTGCAGAGCTGCTGTGAGATGTGAGCATCAAAGTGAGCTCACCGTGGGAAGCTTTTATAAGCTTTCAAGCACTGTGTAAATGACACCTGTCAGAGGAGGATGAATTCTGAGCCGGATGGGTGGCTCCCTGAGCCCAGTATGCAGGAGGAATTGTTAATAGACCTGCAAACACAAAAACCATTAGAAAGGATATATTTGAGGTGGCTGTAGTTTCTGGTTATCAAGTAGGAACATGCAGTTATCTATGATAAGGGCAGCTGGCGGGTAGAAAGGGCTTGCAGCTTGTTGAGGGTGATGAGGAAGGCAGACATCTTTAAAAGGAGAATGGGAGGAGGGTAAACTGAGGGGTGAGGAGATGGTTTGCTCTGTCTTGGGCCTCAAATAGCCCAGGCTCTGCTGCTGGGCTTCGGGCTGTGAACGCAGCTCTAACGCTCCCCTGTGTCTGAGGTTAGGCTAGATAGTTGCAGAATCAACCATCGTTTCTCAAGCTTTAGTTGTTTGGAGAGCTGTGAGGAGTAGAGATGTATGAAAGTATAGAGGTATCCATGTATGTTTTGATGAAATCTTTTGGAACTTTATCTCCTGGTTTACTCCTTAAGTGGCTTCAGCAAGTCACCTGAGGCCAGGCCAGTTTGAAGCCAAGAGCCAGGTCTCCCATGTGGGTGGCAGGAACCCAACCACTTGGGCCACCTTCCCCTGGGTTCCAAGGCTTGTTAGGAAGCTGGATCGGAAGTGAAGCAGCTGGAACTCCAGCTGTCGCCGTATTGAGTGTTGGTCCTGCAGGCAGCAGCCTAATGCTTTACCCCACTACAACCCTGTTTCTTGGATTTTTAAGGTGACTATAATGGGCTGTGCCATTATATTTCTCCCCTTTTCCAAACAAAGCCTGCTCTTAACCCCAGTCCCATGTAACCATTAAGGCTACCTTGGTGGAAAAGTGAGAAAGGGGACTCGGATTGTGCTGTCTGCAGTTGGCCCTGCTGAGTTGGGACCTGGGCTAACAGCCTTACTTCCTGTTTGTGTCCTGCATCAGATCAGAGTTGGCTAAGAGTTGTTTTGTTTCTTGTAGGGGTCTCCTCATGTCAGGGACCAAGTTGCCCCGACAGCAGGAAGATTGTGTAAGTATCACGGGGGAGTACAGAAAACGTGACCATGACACCAGTACTAAATTTGCCTTCTCATTTCCTCATTGGCTCCCAGGACTAGAAATGAAGTGGTTATATTGAGTTCCTAGATATAACCTTCATGTTACATATTTTTTAATGTGTGTGTGAAGTACCTGTCTGCCAAATGTGTTTAGATTATAATGAAGTTGAGGTCAACCAAAGAGTATTCCTGAAGAATCTGTGGGTGTATGTGCAGCCAGGGGCTAGAGGTTGCATTTATTGTGGAGATTGAGAGCATCCTCTTGGTAGCATAGTTACTTGTTTAAGGAACAGTTCAGGAGACTAGTGGAGCTTGGAGCCTTGGGCTGGTTTGGAGGAAATGTGGTGGTTGCATAATATAGCTTGGAGAAAGGCCACCACTTGGGTTTCAGATTAACTTCTGACTGTGACTTAAGTGCTGGCTTGGCATTCCTTGTGTGAAAAGGCGATGGGGCGAGGATGCTGTCTAGCAGCTTGTTCAGCAGCTGGGAAGCTGCTGGTTCTGCAGGGAGGTTCTTCAGTGTAAACAGCAGGTCAACTTCTTTCTGTGCAATTAAAGGTGGGCATTTCCCTTTAATATCTATCTAATACTGTCTTTTAAGTGTGGTCCCACTGCTTGACTCCCAGGATGCCCACAACAGCTAGGGCTATACTAGGGCTGAAGCCTGGAGCCTGGAGCTTAATCCAGGAATCCCATGGGAATGGCAGGGGTGCAAACATTTGAGCCATCAGCTGCTGCCTACCCAGAGGCATTAGCAGGAAGCTAGATCAGAAGTGGAAGTGCCAGAACTCCATTCTAGACAATTTGCAATAGTCTTTCCAAGCAGCCAGTTAACCCTTAATGCCATGGCACTTGCCCCTGTTTTTTTTTCTTCAGTTGAAAAAGCACTTCTCTCCCTTAGTACTGTAATTTTGAATTCCTGCGCTTCTCTTGGAGGGGCAGTTTGGCTGTCCTGTCTTTGAATTGTGTGTACTAGTTGGCTCAACAGTTGCGTTTCTGGGATTTTTTTTTTTTTAAGATTTATTTATTTTATTACAAAGTCAGATATACAGAGAGGAGGAGAGACAGAGAGGAAGATCTTCCGTCTGATAATTCACTCCACAAGCGGCCGCAATGGCCAGTGCTGAGCCGATCCAAAGCCAGGAGCTTCTTTCCTGGTCTCCCACATGGGTGCAGGGTCCCAAGGCTTTGGGCTGTCCTCGACTGCTTTCCCAGGCCACAAGCAGGGAGCTGGATGGGAAGTGGAGCTGCCGGGATTAGAACTGGCACCCATATGGGATCCTGGCACGTTCAAGGCGAGGACCTTAACTGCAATGCTATCGTGCCGGGCCTGTGAACACTATCTTTAAAAGCAGTCTGCATGTCATGTGACTATACATAGACCACAGCTGTTTTGACATTACAGGAGTAAAATTATCAAAAAGCATTTAAATCTATTTTACTTTGTTATTATGAAATTGCTTTTTTGTAGAATATTGACAGTTCTGAAAGTGTAAAAGTGAAAGCTCTCATCAGTCCAATTCATTCTCCCAAGCTGTGTGCCTGATAGCCGTAGATACTGTGTGTGTCTGTATCTAGCACTTCCAGAAGTAACCAGTTAATGATTTTATGTGTACAAGGGTCTGTCATTCTCCAGTTAAGTTTTTATAGTATATGTCATACCAGAAAATGCCTTGGTCTTTGAAATTCTTTTTGATTAGCCCAGAATGGGCTAATGTAGCTGCCTTCCAAAAAAACAGGAGTTGTCATATTGACTTGGTAGGTTTTCTTTCACCCCCATAGCATTTACCTCCAAATCAAGTGTCTCATCTTGCTGCCTTATCTAAACCCATAATCCTGAGGACAGATTCCATTATGCTTGGCATAATGACAATTAACCCTGAAGCTTACCATTTCTCATGTGGGTGTGGTTACTTAAAAACAACACCTGGTTAATAGGTTAAATCATTTTGGTGGATCTGCAAAGGACCACGAGGCTTACTGTTTTCCTCAGAGAACCAGTGGTAGATCTGTTTTGTGAGAACTGGCATTCTATTGCAACACAGGGCACACTGCTCAAGACACCCAGGGCATCAGGCTGTGCCAATTCCCCCGGCCAGGTGGAATGTTTACAGATGGAGCTGGGGCACGTGCATGTTGGAAAAATTCCATTGTGTGACATTAGTGAACACCCCTGGTGAGCAATCACTGTTTCAGGAGGGGCAGCATGCGGCACTTGAACTGGACTAAAATGTGAGTGGTTTATCTGCTTTAGGCATTAAAGTTGGCATTTCTTTTGTAGCATTAACAGCAGTAGTGTCTTCAGCGTTCGCTTCTTCAGAACTACAGCTGCATGCAGTAAGTACCCTCCCGCACCTCAGTGCCTTCTTGGGTGTGGGGTGTTGTGGTTGTTTCGTTTGCTTGTTTATTGAGAGACAGTGTGCTTGGTTCATTCTCCAAGTGCCTGCAACAGTCTGGGCTAGGCTGAAGTGGGGAGTCAGAACTCGATCCGGGTTTCCCACATTGGTGAGAGGAACTTAGTTACCTGAGCCGCCATCACTTGCTTTCTGGGGTCTGGAGATAGAGCAGGAATTGGACTGAGGCGCTGTGATGTGGGATGCAGGCATCGTCACTGGCGTCATAACTCCCGACACCACCCGCTTGGGAATGGAGATTGAATGGGAAGAGCAGAACTGACTGAATTTAATAAAAAAAACAAAAAAAACTACTATGACTTTCCTGTTTCTCCTAGAGGATGATGTGATTACAGTAAAAACCCCAGCGTTTGCAGAGTCTGTCACAGAGGGCGATGTCAGGTGGGAGAAAGGTAAGGTGTTTGTTCCTCTGCCCTCTCAGTCTCCCTTCCCTGCCTACCCCCGTGGACCCACCAGCTCCGCCGGTTAGCTCCCACCCCTACACTTGCATGTTGCCCTGGGCCTGAGGGAGAGGGACCTTGGAACCAGAAAACAGAAGGGAGCTCCCACTGACCAGCAGCCTTTGGTTGTCTTCTCAGCTGTTGGAGACACCGTTGCGGAAGATGAAGTGGTTTGTGAGATTGAAACTGATAAGGTAGGCTTGACCTGTGTTAATGCCAATTTTGTATGGTCTTCCCTTAGTCTCTTGACCTAATGAAAGAAACAGGGGCTTAAGCATTAGAGATCATTTTTAATTGACTGTAACCTCAATTAGAAATAATAGTTCATTAAGAGGATACAATTCAGGTTTAGTTGTAGATAGTTCTACATGTATGCCATAAACTAGAGTATGTTTAGTTTGTAGCAGCTTTTTGTGTGTGTGATGTTTGAACAATTTCTAGCTTTTGTGTATCATTTGGAAACATAGAAACTGAATTTTTGCCTTAGTATTTCTGAGAAAGGACAGAAGGGGCCAATCTTCACGATAACAAGGGTCGTGATCACTTTTCTTTATGGTTTTTTATTTTTTTTCTTTCCAACTTAATTCGTGTAAAGTCAGAGTAACAAAGATCACCTAATCCCTGGGCTGTTTAGCAAATGTTCATAACAGTCAGGATGGGCCAAGCTAAAGTTAGAAGCTAGAAATCCACGCAGGCCTCATGTGGGGGACAAACCCAGGTTCTTGGGCATTAGCAGGAAGCTGGAATTGGGAGAAAATCCAGGACTAGACCAAACACTTCCGAAGAGGATGCAGGCTTCTCGGGATGGCTTAGTTTACATGTCACAGTGCCACTGCTTGTAATCGCTCTGAAACTGGAGGGGGCTCTAGGCGCTTTTACGTGCAAGGTCTTTTATAACTGTGCAGCAAGTCTGTGACTCATATTGGAGATTCTGTATAGTTAATTTTCTAATACTGTGTAAAAATTCAGACTCTATCTTCTTTTTCCAGACGTCTGTACAGGTTCCGTCACCGGCCCATGGCGTGATCGAAGCTCTTTTAGTACCTGATGGGGGGAAGGTCGAAGGAGGCACTCCTCTTTTCACACTCAGGAAAACTGGTGGTAAAGAAGTTCTCTTGGTGGTCAAGGTCTTCCGTTGGGCTTGGGGCTGATACTTCATAGTCCAACTGCTCTTAGTTGAGGGACTAAGAAGGGTAGTATGAGCTACCCTTCAGGAAAAAAGGAGTATTTAAAATTCAGGAAAAAAGGAGTATTTAAAAAAAAAAAACCCTCATGATCTGTTTTTATTTTTTTTTCTTCTATTTAATAGATTTATTTGAAAGGCAGTTTGAGAAAGAAGGGGAAACAGGGACACACACACACAGCTATCTTCCATCCCCTGGTTCATTTCCTCAAATCACCAAAATGGTCAGAGCTGGGTTAGGCTGAAACCTGAAGCCTAGAACATGTTTCCCACATGAGTAGCAGGGACTCAGATACTTGGCCCTTCTTCCTGTGCTTTCTCAGGTCATTAGCACAGAACTGGATTGGAAGAAAAGCAGCCAGTATCAAACTGGTGCTTATAGGGTGCTAGTGTCACCGATGGCAGCTCAACGTACTACATGACAATGCTGATCCCTTCCTGCAGATTTTCTTATTCTGGATTTTAAATTTTTTTATGTATTTGAAAGGCAGGGTGATGAAGACCTTTCAGGACCAGCCTTGTGGAATGGCAGGTAGAGCTGCTGATTGTGATCCTGGCATCTGGTATGGGTGCTGGTTCATGTCCAAGCTCTGCTTTTGTATCTTTTTTCCTTCTTAATATTTATGTTTTATTGCAAAGTCAAATTGAGAAGGAGAGATAAAGATCTTCTGTCCTCTGATTCACTCCCCACGTGGCTACAAAGGCTGGAGCTGAACCTCCTATGTAGGTTCAGGCCCAAGGTTTTAGGCAGTCCTCTGCTTTCCCAGGCCATGGACAGGGAGCTGGATTGGAAGTGGGGCAGCTGGGATACGAACTGGCGCCCACATGGGATCCTGGTGCATGCAAGGTGAGGATTTAGCCATCGAGCCATCATGCTGGGCGGAAGCAACTCCACTTCTAATGCAGTTCCATGTGTTGGAAAAGCAGTAGAGGATGGCCTAAGTGTTGGGTCGCTGCCACACACTTTGGAGACTGGGATGAAGCTCCAGACTCCTGGCTCTGGCCTGGCCCAGTGCTGGTTGTTGGGCTGTCTGGGGAGTAAACCAGTGTATGGAAAATCTCTTTGTAAATGACTTTCAAAATAAATAAATCTTAGAAAAGGAAAGAAAAAAGAAAGCTATCTTGCATTCATTGGCTCATTCCCCAAACATCTGACAGCGAGAGTTGGTCCAGGCAGGAGCCATGAATCAGGAACTCCATCTTTGTGTCCTGTTCAGGTGGCAGGGACACAGGTATTTACACCATTGTGTGATGCCCCTAGGTGTATTAGCAGGAAGCTGGCCTAGAAGCAAGTCAGGCACTCTGATATAGAATGTAGGTATCCCAAGTGATAGCGATGCCTGCCTTGGATTTCCTTTTTCTTTTTTTCTTTTTTTTTGTTTAAAGACCTATGTATTTATTTATTTTTTTATTGGAAAGGCAGATATATAGAGTAGGACAGAGAGGAAGATCTTCCATCCGGGTGGTTCACTCTATAAGCGGCCACAACGGCTCTAGCTGAGCCAATCCAAAGCTAGGAGCTTTTCCGGGTCTCCCACGCGGATACAGGGTCCCAAGGCTTTGGGCTGTCTTTGACTGCTTTCCTGGCCACAGGCAGGGAGCTGGATGGGAAGCAGGGCCACCGGGATAAGAACCAGCGCCCATATGGGATCCTGGGCGTGCAAGGCAAGGACCTTAACCACTGCGCCACCACGCCAGGCCCACATGGGAGCTTTTTAAAGTAATGCAGATGATGATGCCCCATGGCCCAGAGATCCTGATTTGTTAGAGCCTGGTAATATGACATAGTTTTAAAATGTTTCCTGGAGTGATTGGTTCAAGGTGAGGACTTTCACCGCTAGGCTACTGTGCCAGGCCCTCAGGTTGCTCTTAATTAAATGCTGTAATACCAAAGTCTGTTTCCTTTTCATTATTAATGTAGTCAGGCTCTTGAAGTTGGGCTATGGAAGTCGGGCTACTTCTGACATTGTAATCAGACTCAAATCAGAAGCTCAAAGTGGGAAAAATATGTAGTAGCTAACTAGGAAAAAGACCAGGTGAAATGTTCATCCTATTCGTTACTGTCAGAATGAAAGAAACTTTTTAAAGATGTTGCAAAAATTTATTTTTAAAGATTATTTACTTTTATTGGAAAGGCAGATCTATAGAGAGGAGGAGAGACGGAGAGGAAGATCTTCCATCTGATGATTCCCTCCGCACGTGGCCACAACGGCTGGAGCTGAGCCAATCTGGAGCTAGGAGCTCTTCTAGGTCTCCCACGTGGGTGCAGGGTCCCAAGGCTTTACAAGAGCTACAAAGGAACACAGCTCTTTATTCACTGGTTGAGCCCTCTGGTGGCACAAAGGCCAGGGCTAAGCCAGGCCAAAGCACTTAGGCCATCCTCCTTTGCTTTCCCAGGCTGTAAGCAGAGAGCTGGTTCCGAAACGGCTTGTTGAGTTTGCTGAGCAGTCAGGAAGGCAGTTGAGTGGAGTGAGTAGCTGATACGGGACAGTTTGAGACACTGGGACTATGGTAGAGTACTCTGGCTTAGTTCCTTGTACACAGCAAGGATTGAGATAGAGCGCTTGCCACTGAACTGATTGGGCTGCTTTTAGTTCCAGGCAGTGTTGATGTTCTTATTTTTCTGTTCTCATTTTCCAGCTGCTCCTGCCAAGGCCAAACCAGCTGAAGCCCCTGCTGCGGCCCCCAAGGCAGAGCCTGCAGCAGCTCCTCCGCCTCCTGCAGCACCCATACCCACTCAGATGCCTCCGGTGCCCTCACCTTCACAGCCTCCTTCTAGCAAACCAGGTGAACTCCCTCCCATGTCTCATGTGGAGAAAGACCATCTATGTAGTGTCGTGCAGTCTGAGACTAATCGTGGCCCTGATTAGTGGCTTGGCTGTTCGTAGAACTGTAAACATGGAAGACCTGGGTTTGCTTCCTAGCTTTCTGTTTGTGTGTAACTGTGTGACTTTTAGCTAATCACTTTACTTCTCTGAGCAGAAGTTCATCTGTTACTGATCCACTTCTGAATCTCTTCAGGATTAAATGCTAATGTAGCCTGGAAATACTGGTATGTACTCACATACATGTTTCCTTCCCTCTGATGCCACTGTGTCCTCTCTGTAGTGTCTGCAATAAAACCTGCTGCTGCCCCTTCGCCAGCTGACACAGGACTGCGTTCAGAACATCGGGTAAGCCTTGGCCAGTGTGAGGCTAGTGGAATCTGGGTGTGGTATATACCTTTGTGTGAGCAGCAACTCATTTCCTTGACCTTGACAAAGATTCAGGTCTAGGAAGTGACGTGTTCATCTCTCTGTATCCATCAAAGGATAATACTACAAGGTTTTCTGCCTGCTTGTCCAGTGGTTTTTTCCACTGTATGATGTTACCAGGGAAATGCCTTGGGTAAGTTAAATGTATTTGCAGAGGTGGTAGCTTGGTAACACAACCCTCTCCCTCCTACGGTGATGTCTGCTTCAGAGAGATGGCTCTGAGAGTGCTTTATTCCTATGCTTGCGGAATATTTGGCTGTTGCTAGGGGATACGAAACATTAGCACTAGCTGTTAGGGCAGACATAAAACCTCAAGGAAGTGTGGTCAAGAATGTGGGTTCCCCTGCCTGAGAATACTTCCTAAAAATACTGTAGCCTCCAGTCTGTTGCCTGTGAGTTCCCACTGTTCTCATGTAAGTCTTTCTAAACAGAAATTGCCTTTCCTGTGATGATTCTTAGGCTGGCTAAACCTCCACCACATTCTTCCTTTTTATAAACTGGTTTTGGTTTTTAAATCAGACCATTTCCTGAGCCTCCATTCTTGGTTAAACATGAGGCACATCGGAGAGAACAGTTTTGGCTTGTGTTTTGTTCTGCTTGAAGCAGAAAGGCCACCACAGGAAGTGGGAAGCAACAAGTGCATGTTGTACTCAGATACTGGAGCCAGTTCTTGGCCATCCCCTCGTGGCAAGCTGATTCCTCTCTGATCCCGTGAGACCAGCACCTCAATACTTGCTGCACTTTCACTTGCAGGAGAAAATGAACAGGATGCGGCAGCGCATTGCCCAGCGTCTGAAGGAGGCCCAGAATACATGTGCAATGCTGACGACTTTCAATGAGATTGACATGAGGTGGGGTCTCCAGCCCCTCTCGCTCCCATGCCCTTTCTTTCTTGGAGAACACGTGAGCTTGTCCCAGTTCTTACCTAGTGCCAATGCCAACACTAGCTTGATGGGAAGGAGGTGCTTCTTTCCTTTCCTGATTGTTGACTTAAGAATGTGACCCCCTAGTTTAATCCCGTGTTTGACTTTGCTGATACTATGCCTGGTTCATCTCTGATCTTTGACCCAAATCTTGGGATTTCTGATCAGTGAGGTTGGTAATATTCTTCAGACTCTGGTGACCTTTGTTGGGTTGTCTAGAAGATATGGTGCACCCAGATGGACAGAGCTTCTGCCCAGAGCTAACGCCTTTGCTAGAGAATCCTTAACAGCCTGCCCAGGACCAGGGCACCATGCCTAGTATACTAGTGACTTTCCTCATGTGTGTTATTGAGTAGTTCACAGTCAGGCAGGTTAAAGCACAAATTATCTTTTTTTTTTTTTTTTCTGGGTGTTTATAAGGTCTTACGCTGCGGATTTCAAGAGGGTATAATGATGAGTGAACAAGAACCATAGCCTCCTAAACTTGCTGTTTTGGGTAGACATAAAGTGAAATCTAGAAAAATTAAAAATCAGAAGAATAACAGTTTGGAGAAGAAAGTGAGATAATTTGTTTTTGAGATTGGGGGTAGAGGTAGCAGGTGTAGACCTGGAAATTCCTGGAGCAAAGAGACCGTTATTAGGCCTTCGGGTGGCATTCCAGCTGCTGTTTGTGGTGTGGACCCTAACAGGCAGGGCAGTAGAAAACACGCTGAGACGGAGACGTAACCAGGAACATAAAGGAAGGACCAGAGCACAGGGCAGAACGGCCATAGTTCAGCATGTTGTGAATGCCAGGTTCAGAGTTATCGTTGGATTTAGGAAGCAGATTACTCAGTTTTCAGGCCGGCTTGTGGCTTTTTTCCATCCTGAATATTTAGTCTTCTAATCTCACTAGGAAATTTTGATTTCCTTTGGAAAGAGTCTGACAAATAAAGAAGGGTGTGGTTTGACTACGCTCTTGGCGTTTTTCACCAGATAGGGCTATGTGGCTGATGTCAGGAAGCTTTCTAAGGACGCTGGACAATCACCCATGCCCAGGCTTTCTCTCCTGTAGTGTGCAGGGGGAAGGACACCGAGTAATGACTCCTGGACTGCAGCTTGGGTTTCAGTGCATTAAGCCCGAATGGTACACAAATTAAATTGGACTTTGAAATCCTACTCCATTTCTTAAGACAAAACATGTAAATATTTGTGGCCTTGAAAGACACTGTTGATCCAGCAGCTTTGATTGGAAGTAAGGGATGGTTGTGGGGCCTCCTTTTAGCAGCTAATCAAGGTGTCACCTAACAAAGGCCTGGCATCTTGCTGCAGAGTAATCTGGTTTAGATCGAGTGTCCTCTGGGTCTTGTACTGGCCAGCTACCCTCTGAGGGGCCTTTCTGAGCTCCTGCTTTCCCCCGGAGCCCCAACTGCTGCCTCCAAGAGCCGAATTCTGAAACAGAAACTGCTTAATGACCACACAATCGCATTTCAGCAGGGCTGAGAGCAGAGATGTTTATCACTTCGCCCTCCTTCTGCTGCTGCTCTTGCATCTTGGGAACTGGTAATGTCTTTAGGGTGGTAATCCTAGCACTAAATAAGGTTAGACTCAGGAAAATAAACATTTTAAACCCAATAAGTCTCCCTGGGAAAATGTCCTTTTTCAGAAGCAAAAGGGTCTGTGGGGGGCAGTTAAAGTTGCACCACATCTTATCTTTGTCTAATGTTGAATCAGGCCATTACAGGGAGAAGGAGAGAGCTGGACATTGGGACCTGAGATGAAGTTAAACTCAAATTTCAGTATGAACTCTGTTCCTATAAATACCGAAGTTTCGGCAGCACAATGATGGGGAAGCCTTCTTCCACAAACTGCAGCGTGTATGTAAAGACCCCAATTCTGACGGAGCAAAGGCTGTTGGTGCTGCAGAAGCTTCTCAGAAGGCCCTGCCACTTCACCTGGAGGGAAGAGCTTGGGTCCACACATGGTCACTGTTGATATCTTTTTGAAACACAGCTCCCTTCTGCTGTGTTACTTTCCAGAAATTCCCCCAACAGTGAAGACTGGTCAGTCTGAAACCAGGAGATAGGAACTGAAATCTAGGTCTCTCATGTGGACGACAGAGGTCTAGACACTTGAGCCATCCACCTGCTGCCTCTTGATGAACATTAACAGGAGGTTAGAGCGAAAGAAGAGCCTCAGTCTGGACCATGGCACTCAGATATGGGATGTAGATGTCCCAAACAGGGTTAATAACCGCTGTGCCAAAAAACCTGCCCCCATTAAACTAATCTCAAGGGCAGGAGCCTTGTCTTATCTTTGTATCTTAGTGGTGATGTCAGTTCCCACTTGAAAGTCCGCTCAAGGCTTCACTGGTGGTCAGGATCTCATCACTTGTCTCCACAGTAACATCCAGGAGATGAGAGCCCGGCATAAAGAGGCTTTCCTGAAGAAACACAACCTCAAACTCGGCTTCATGTCGGCATTCGTGAAGGCCTCGGCCTTTGCGTTGCAGGAGCAGCCTGTCGTCAATGCAGGTGAGTAGCCTGGGACCAGGATCATGGGGGCCCTGGGAGGTGGCCCTGTGGACGCAGGCCTGCCCCTTCCCAGGCGGGCTCTGCTCTCCTGGCTGTGGACGTAGGAGTGTCTTCCCCTGGTATTTCTGAGTGACTGTCCTGAACAGCACCTTGAGTCCTTTCCCTGCAGCTGGAGAGAATAGTTAGCTTTTCCTCCTACTGCAGAGCTCAGCAGTGGCTCTGGCAGCACAGGCCTGGGCTGCCTCTTGCCCAGTGTAAGCTCTCTCAGGTCACTGGGAAGTCTCGTCCCTCTTTTTTGGACTTGATACTTTAAAAAAATTAATTTAGTATTTTTTTAAAAGATTTATTTATTTTTATTACAAAGTCAGATATACAGAGAGGAGAGACAGGAAGATTTTCCGTCTGATGATTCACTCCCCAAGCGAGTGCAACAGCCAATGCTATGCCGATTCGAAGCCGGGAACCTGGAACCTCTTCCGCGTTTCCCATATGGGTGCAGGGTCCCAAGGCCCTGGGCCATCCTTGACTGCTTTCCCAGGCCACAACCAGGCAGCTGGATGGGAAGTGAGGCTGCCAGGATTAGAACCAGCGTCCATATGGGATCCCGGCACGTTCAAGGCGAGGACTTAAGCTGCTAGGCCACGCTGCTGGGCCCAATTTAGTATTTTTTAAATAACTATATTTATTTTTGATAGTTGATTAGGATGATAAGGGTGAAGGGCTACAGGAAAGTGGGTGAGATCACCATTTCCACAAACTTTTTCCTTCCTGTATGCTGGAATGATGGGGAACAAGCAGAGAAGCCACACCCAGCCTCCCAACTGCCTCTGCACCCTGGGATGGAGGACAGCCACCTGACGCCACCCCAGGGTCCCTGATGTGAGGCATGCTCCTAGGGCTCATTTTCTTTTACCCACCTGTGTCATTTAAGTGTTGGCCTAATGAGCAGTTCTTATTTCTGTTGAGACACTTCTCGTATCATTGAGAGGGCAGTCCTGAGCAATGCCGAGGTACCTAAAGAACTAGGACTAGAAGCCTTGCCCCATTTCACTCGTGTCTTCTTGACTGGTTCTCTGTTTTGTGGGCTCCCTTTATTTAGACATAATACAAGTTCTCTTTTTTTCAGTCCACTTGCCTTCCCTGGGTGTCACATGTGATGATATGATACAAACTGGGTGTGAAGGTTCCCAAGCCTTTATTCCCTCAGGAGTGCTGGAGGGAAGTTTCCAGCTGTTGTCTGCCACGCATATCTGAGGCCAGACCACCTGCTGCCTCTTCAGTCTCCTGGAGAGAGGCTTCCTCCTTCCCAGCTCTGGATGTGGGCAACGGGATGGGCAGCATGCCCATACCCCCTCTCCTTGGCTGATTTACCCTTTGTGGGAGTGCTTCATAACTGTAGCTGTTCTCTGTCAGAGGTGGGCCTGTGTAGAGCAAGTTGGCAGGAACTTAGTGTGCGCTGGCATCCCCTGCCAGGCAGCTTGGGGACAGCCATCACTTAGCCTAGGCCACTGTTGCTCAGATGGTAGGAAGTGGACTGCCAGGTGCCACCTGTAGGGCAGCGGGTTGTCCTGTCGGATGTCGGCCCACACTGCACCAGCTCTGTGGGTTTTCACTCTTGGTGCAAATATTGTCCATGGCCTCGGCCTGGGAAGTCCTGCATAACATGTGCTTTCTCTCTTGTAGTGATTGATGATTCAACCAAAGAGGTGGTGTACAGGGATTATATCGACATCAGTGTTGCAGTGGCCACCCCACGGGTATGTTGAGACAGCAGGCGGGAGTGCTGGTCTTAGATCCTCACCCTACTCAGCCTTGTGAAGAAGCAGGTCGCATGGCAGAGCTCATTTCTGTAGTGCTGTGTTTTTAGGAGGGAATTGGTAACAGTATCCCATTTAGCATACCACATTGTTAACATCAAGACTAAATAGTATAGGCTTTCTGTTAAATATATTATGTGCTGAAGGTACTGAGAGAGAAGATCAGTAACTTGCCACCAGAAAGGGTTCTGTTAACTTGGAGCTGAAAGACTTTTTCACTCTTCTCAGGGTCTGGTGGTTCCTGTCATCCGGAATGTGGAAACCATGAATTATGCTGACATCGAACGAACTATCAACGAACTGGGAGAAAAGGTAAATGCAGGAAGAAGTGTGTGTTGGTTCCTGGGCAGGTGTGCAAGGAGAATGTGGGAGACTAGGCTCGCCAGCAAGCAGCACTCAAGCTGTGGAAGCTCCGCTTATCCTGTAAGAAGTGCGGGGCCCTGAGAAGTGGAGCTCAGGGTGTGCTGGTGACCAGACTCCTGACGTGAGCCTCTGACACGGTGAGCGTGTCTCTTCGCAGAGTATGAGTCCCTCAGTTGAACAGCTTTCCGTTGAGACCAGAGCCTATTGTTCTTGGAGCTTTCTGCACTGGGTTGGGTTAACATTTCCATTATGAAACCTTTCTAGGCCAGAAAGAATGAACTTGCCATTGAAGACATGGATGGAGGTACTTTCACCATCAGCAATGGAGGCGTTTTTGGCTCACTGTTTGGAACGCCCATCATCAATCCCCCTCAGTCTGCCATCCTGGGCATGCATGGCATCTTCGACAGGCCAGTGGCCGTGGGAGGCAAGGTAGGCACTTTTGTTTCTGATGTCCCTGTGGCCGAGTGACTATGAGAGGGTCTAGCTAATTGTAATTGCAGGCCTCAGCCCCGTTTCTCAGTTTCTGATGTCTAGAGGAGGTGCTGGTTCTCAGAGCATGCCTTTGAATTGGCATCATCCAGGGACCTGTTAAAAATGCTCGCTCTTGGACCCTGTCCAGACCTGTGGAAGCAGACTGGCAGATGGTTCTGATTAAGGCTGGGAAGGCTCAGGTCTTGGTCTGGGACCAGCCAGAAAGTTGTTCCACTGGGGGCTGAGGGCTGGGGGGGAGGGAGGTACAGGGTCCTCACTCAGCACACAGGTCTCTAAGCTCTAGGCTTAGGTGCTGGGAGAGTTCAGGGCAGGAAGTCAGAGGGGTTTCAGCTAATCTTGGAAGACATAGGAAGTCTTCAAAAAGTTCATGGAAAATGTATATTATGAGGAAAAACTACTCATGGATTTCACAAGTTGTTGCACCAAAATAAACTCACCTTGGAATTCCATTTTCTGTGGATTCCATTTCTCAAAATGCCCTCCTTCCTGTATTAGTGGGAAAAACATTTCTGGGACTTCTGTGTTTAGAACCTTTTGGGGCCACTAACTCCTTTATGAATTCAAAAACCATCAATTTCCCCAGAGAAACCTGTGTCTCTAACTGCATTCTGTGGACCCTAGGTTGAGAATTTTTGTCAGTTTTTTAAAATTGTAACCCCAAAAAGCTGCTGTGAGCAGCAAGGATCCGAAGGAAGCCTGCCTGGCAGCAGTGAGGCCTGAGGCAGTGGCCCTGAGGACAGTGCTGCTCTCTCCAACTGCTTCAGAGTCGGGAGTGGCTGCCTGTGCCAAGGCTCGGATGTGGGTCTGAAGTCCCCAGAGGCCACATCAGTGGGGACGGCTCTGGAGCTGGGAGCTTTCCTGCCGGCAAACCTGTTGACCTCTTCTCTCTAGGTGGAAGTGCGGCCCATGATGTACGTGGCATTGACCTACGATCACCGGCTGATTGATGGCAGAGAGGCCGTGACTTTTCTCCGAAAAATCAAGGCAGCGGTAGAGGATCCCAGAGTCCTCCTCCTGGACCTTTAGGAGGAAGCCACATGCCCTACAAATTGACCACACAGGAACTGAGAACCACTCTTCTCCCAGTCCCCTCGGGGTCCTGGGTTAGCCTGGGGACAGGCAGGCACATGCTGTTGGCCTCAAGCAGGGAAGCCAGGGCGCTGTGTCAACCGGCAGGTCTTGTCTTGGTTTCCTGCCAGGCTCTCTCCCTCTCTGCTCAGTCCTCCCACCCTCACATAGCAGCTGTCCTAAGGCTCGTAGGGAGCGAGAGAGCCGGCCTGGATGCGTAGTGACTCTCCTGCTGGCCTCCCAGCAGCCCTCTGCAGAGATGCCTCATCTCCCCCCAGTGCCAGGGTGCTGGGGGAGTCCCTGGGGACCACGGAATTGCAGGTCTTAGAAGCTGCTTTCCAGAGACATCCGGGGGGCTGCCGTGCCCCGGCGCCCAGGGCAGCCACTGTCCTGGCTCTGCAGAGGTTGTGGATGCAGCTGGGAAGGGCTGCTTTGCTTCTTCAGTGGCACCCGCATTCTCAGCTGCGGTTGATTGTCAGCTGCCTCTTCTACCTCTTGCAGGAAGCACATGCCAGGGACTCGCATGTGGGAGGAGTGGGCAGGGTTTGGGGGGGGGTCCCTATGTTGGAATCAGGGTGGGAGCAGCCCCGGGCTGGCCCTCACATTGTCATAGGCCCATGCCAGGAAAATGGGTTTGGGCACAATCACAACCTCACTCAAGCCAACCTTTCCTGATCCCTTCCCAGGCTGCTGGGACCCATTTGGGCATACTTAGAGCAGATTCTGGCATGTCCTGGCCATGGGGCAGATTGTGGGCCAAAGGAGGCCCTGGCAGAGCCAGGGGAGGGCAGGCATTCCCTGGAGCACCGCCAGCTAACTGGGCGGGTGGGCGAGTGGACTGACAAGGCCCTGCTCTTCCCACTTTGGCCCAGGGCAAGTGGGGGGTCTGCACTCTGCAGGGCGGGATGGGAGTATGGGAGTATGCAGAAGACAGGCGGGGGGCCCAGCTTCAGGTGTTCATGTTCCCTGGTGAAATGCTGATGGCGTCTCTGGGGAGCTGTCCTGTGGGTCTGGGCACAGTCAGAAGAATTCCTTGGAGCATGGTAGAAGCCATGGGGCTCTATGACTGTCACCAGCTGCATTTAGGTCTGAGGCTGCTGACCCTGGCCACTGGGCTGTTGCTTAGTGCAGACTGCCCTTTTGTATCTTGAACCAAGAAACAAGACCTGGGGGTGGGGGGAGGGGTGGGATGGGGGTGCCAGTACTGAGTGCCTGCAGCATCTACTACTCTGTCTCCACTGCTCAGAACTTGTAACTAAAGTATTTAAAGAAACGGATTTTGAATGAAAATTAAAGGGCAAATATTCTCAAACAAGGTTCTGCATCTTCTGGTTACTGAGAATAAACAGATCCCAGCAGTGGCAGCACCATTCGTGGTCATGAACCTTGAAGCCACTTAAAGTCCCCTTGGCTGTCCTGTGGTGGCTCATTCCCCCTCCTTTTGGGGGTGGGGTGGGGAAGAGGAGATAGATGCCTGATTAGTTGTTTCACTTGGTAAGTGCCTTGGCCCTGGCCTGAGTGTATGGGATTCAAACAATGTGGTCAAAATCTCTCTCGGTGCATTAGCTGGAAGCTGGATGCGAAAAAGCGAGATGCCATCCCAGGCGCTCTAGTTCTTAACGGTAGGTAGAAGGTGGGCCCCGTGGTGGGCCTTGTGGTGCAGTAGGGACACCACTTCCTGTATCATACTGCCAGTTTGTATTGCAGCTGCTTGGCTTGTACTCAAGCTCCGGCTAACATGCACCTGGAAGGGGTGAGGGTGGCGCCCAAGTCAAGTTTATGCCACCCATGGCTGAAGCTCCTGGCTTCAGCTTGACCCAGCCCCGGCTGTTGTAGCCATCTGAGAAGTGACCCAGTGGGTAGAATATCATTCCAAGAAAGCTGTAAAACATGGTGGGGCTGGAGCAGGAGGAGGCCACCTCTCGGTCACTGCAAGGAAAGCGGTGTAGTCCCTGTGCTTGGCTTCTGCCCAGCAAGCCCCGGGGGCCGCATTCCGCTCCTGAAGGGACACCTCTGTTCCCACCTGCCCTTCAGGACAGGTTGGCATTGGCAAGGGGCGGGGCATCTCAGAATGGTCATGCAAGTTGCAGCACTCTTGGGATAGTTGAAGGTATGGCACCTGCCAGGAGCAGCATCCCAAGGGTGGGTGGATTGGACCGGTTGTTGAGCTAGGCCAACTGCACAGTGGGCTCTATGTCTTGACTCAGTCCTGCCTTCTCTTTCCAGAGGCCCCACCTTGATGTTGCAAGTGATGAGGCTGGCTGTCCCTCAGCAGGGGTGAGGGCTAAGGCTGGTAGGCGGAAAATACTGTTGGTTGTCTTTAGGGAAGGAGTTAGGTCCCAGATTTGGTGTGAATAGCTTTAATAAACTGCACAGTAGGCATCTTTAGCCCAGTTTATCAAAAAGAGGTCAACCGAACATACTTTGAGGGCTGGCGCTACCATATGGTAGACTGGAGCCCCAGGAGTGAGGTGGATGAGGTGACGCCAGGCCCCTGCGCCAGTCCTTGTCAGGAGCTTATGGCTGTCCCAGGGTCCCTGTGAGGGTGGAGCTGGTGCCCTTCCCAGCACAGATCTTTCCCAGGCTGCTTTTGCTCAGTTCTGTGGAGCCCCAGACTCCCCCCACTTGTCCTGGGGTCCAAAGTTCAGGTTGCAAGCTGGCCCACTCTCCTTGCAGCTCTGCCTTTGGCTTCCGGAGACTCTCCCCCACCCCCCCACCCCCCGCTTCACCCTGGAATCCCGGTGGGAAGCCAGCCCTTCTGCTCCTCCAGCCCCAGGCTGCTCTGTTGTACCCCTGAAGCAAGGACAAGAGCAGGCTGGGCAGACTCCAAAGTTGCCTATTCCCGTCTTTGCCCTGGTCGGCCAGAGTGTGTCTCAAGTGCTGCAATGCAGTGACGCAGCAAGTGCTGAGAGGAGCCCCCAAGCCTAGGGCAGAGGGGTTATTCTTGCAGCCACCACTGTCCAGACCAGAGTCCAGAAACATCTTGCCTCTGGCTGAGCATACCAGAAGCCATTAGTGAGCTGTGTGGGTTCTTACTCGGGCTGGGGCGTGGCATCAGTGGGCAAGGAGCTGAGAACCGCAAGGTCAGTGCAGGAGGATGCCCAGAAGAACCAGGGCCCAGGAGGGACTCCTAAGAGACGGGGCCTGTCAGCCACTTCCTCACCCCAGTTCCTGCATCCCCATGAAGCTCTCCCCTGATGTGGTTGCTGGGGGAAGGCAGTGTTTTCATACCAACTCCTTGTGGCCCAGCTGCACACAGTACCTCCTGCCCCTCCTGCCCTCACTTCCCTCTCCTCCTAATTGCCTTCCAAAGTATGAAGTCAATATGGGGCCGGGTCATTCTGTGCCCCATTCATCCCACTTCCTTCCCAGCCCTGTGGCAGGAGCTTCTGATGAGACTAGCCTGCTCATTGCAACGACTGGGCTAATCAAGACAGCCCTGATTGGGGTCCACTGAGCCAGTGGGATGGTACTCTGAGAAGGAAATCCAGGTCTTCCAGGGGGCACCACATGGCAGTGAAGGAGTGGAGAGCCTGGCAGCTGGTCAGTGGTCTGGAGTCGGTGTGGCAGCAAGTGGTTGGTTGGCAAGCAACAGGTGCCTGCTGGCTGTAGGTGTGTCAACCTGGCCATCACTTCCCTGGGGCTTCTCCAAGAACTGGCCCTTCTTGGCAGTGGCCATGAGGGCCAGCTACCTGGCAGGCTTTGACTGAAGCTCACGGATTAGAAGGCCAGCCCTGGTGCCAACCAGAGACGAAATAGGTCCAGATGGGCACTGGCTGGCACTGCCATCTCATGCCCTACCCAGTCAATGTGCTCCACTGGATAGAACTGAAGAAAGGGTGTGCCTTGAGTTTGCTGACACCACTTGCCCCAGCACCCAGGCGCCTGGCGGGATCGAACTGCAGCAGCTGCAGAGAGAGACCCCATCAGCATCCCCACTCCGATACCACCACCAGTGTGGGCCCACTTGTAGGAGCTCTGATCACCACAGCTCTTAGGAGGCCCAAGGAAGACCCCTCCTCCAGTTTTGCCCTGGGGAGGGGAGATGTTGGTGGCAAATGGCCACTAAGATGTAAAACTTTATCACCCCCATGCTTTCCCACACCACATCAGACATGAGCAAATCACGACAGTCCCTCTGTCCTTACCCCTAGGTCAAAATGCTGGGCTGCACCTCACCTCAGTCAGTAGGGAGGCTGCTGGGCGGCTGAGCCCAGTGGGCAACTGGAGCTGGGTGTGGGCCTGGATCCCTGAGGGGTGGCTCTGCGACAGCGCCTGGGAGGACATGGGGAGGAGACCTGTGAGGCTGCACGATTTGGCTCTGAGTCCCATTGCCTGTGGGCAGTGCTCATGGGATGCTGATGAGGGTGTGGACAGTTCCCCCTTAGCTTTGGATCATCTGGCCCAGGTCCTGACACGTATCAGCAGTTCTCAGGGAATGGAAGGGGCTTGTGCTGAGTTCAGGGTTTGGGCCCTGGTCTCCCTGGTTGCAAACTTGCTAGAAGCAGCCATTTTAGCTTGCAATCAGGGCAGATGGCCTACAATACAAGGTCCAGCCCTGGAACTGGCCTGCTCCTGAACGCAATCCCTATGGCTGCAGCAGTGGCACACTGCCTGTCAGGGCGTGGTGAGAGAAGGGGTGGGAGTCGGGGGAGCTCCCAGGAGGAGCCTTGCTCTCGCTCTGGGAGGCAACCTGTATTTTGCAGGAAGCAGCCAGCATGAAGCAGCCAGTATGGGCCAGTCTGGTTGTAATGCCCTCCTTACAGCTGAGTCCTGCTCAATTGCACTTTAGCCTCTCCCAGGTATGCTAAGTCAGCAAGCACAGGCACACTGAGCAAGGTGGTGCATTGGTGAAAGAGAATCTTGAGCTCTTGACTAACCCAGGCTGCACATCCGGGAGGTGGGAGTGAGTGCTGGGGCGGGGGAGGGGCGGGGAAATGGGATGGGCAAGGGGTGGTTTAGGGAAGAAGGTCTGAGCCAGTGTGGACACTCCCTCCAGCCCCAGTGGCCAGGCTCTCTCTTCCTGAAACAGCCTGCCCTTCCTAACTGCCTTACGGAAGTTGACAGTCTTAGCCGTGGCCACTCACTGTTGCGGGTCCTGGGCCTGTGCAGCAGGGACTTCCTGTGGCTGTGGCCTGTGGGCATGACCCAAAGAATCAGACTCCCAGAAGGGCTCCCTGCCCTACCCAGGACTCACCGTTCCCGTCAGCAGCTCGTAGAGCAGAGACCCGAAGCTCCACCAGTCACAGGCTTCTGTCAGCTCAGAAACCCCGCCCACCTCTGCGGGATCAAGAACAACCCATCTGGTCTCTCCTCATCCCACTCAGACCCTCCCTGCCTGTCCCCTGCTTCCCAGGCACAACCCACACAAAGCTCCCTGCCAACACCAAACCTAGTGTCCCCTCACACCCCTTCTTGCCTGGGGCACTGTATAGCCGCTCGGAGGCCTCGCTGCAACACTGGGGCTCCACTTCCGACCACTGGCCAAAGTATGTGAGCCGGATGTGACCTGCTCAGCCGGTATGTGGAGGGAGGGGGAGGGAGACAAGGGTGAGGGCTGCTGTCACTCCAAGCCACTACGGAGAGGGGCTCCCCCACCCCGCATGCACCCACGTGGCAGGTGCCAGGGGTCCCTTGAAGCAGAGGCCACAGGTTGCTCCTGGGAGCCTGTTCTGAAGCTCCATCATGGCCAGCCAGCCCCAGCATGGGCCCCTGTGTGAGAGGCTGCTTGGAGGAGGTGGCAGCAGACATCCTGGGTCATGGGGGGGCGGGGGCAGGGAGCCTGTTTTCTGCCCTGGGTATGTGGATCGTTGTGTCATTCCCAAGACATACACAATCACTAACTTAACTCAGCCACGGTTGTCTGCCCAGACCAGCTGGTTTTGTGGGGCTTATGTGGTCCATGGGCTAGATGTTTCCCATTCCTGAGTCCTAAGTGGAACCCCTCTGGGAGGCAGGGTGGGAAGGGTCAAAACACCCACCTGTTTGGTCCAGGAGCAGGTTACGGGGGTTGAGGTCCCGGCACAGCACCCCCTGCTCATGTAACGCCTCCAGGGCCAGTAGCATCTCGGCTGCCCACCGCTTCACCTGCTCCTCGCTCACGCTCCAGGCCCGACCATGCCCCAGGCTGGCTGCAGTGGTGACAGTGGCACTGGCAGCAGCTGTGGGTGGTTGGCTCTGACCTCTGCCCCAACCACAGCCCCGCAACACCCTGCCAGCCCCCTCGTGAACCCAAGATAGTCCCCGAGAAAGTCCTGGGGTCTCGCTCTGGCCCGTCTGCCTGATGTGAAGGTGCAGGAGGCTGCTGGCGGTCTG